GACTCTCCCTGATCAGCTGAACCAGCCCTGTATAATTGGATTGAGCTGCCAATCGCCGCTCTCTTCAATGTTCCATGATAGAAAACCGGCCTCAGTGTTCAGGCGACCGGCACATGGAGGGCTTTGCGGTGTAGCAGGCGCTGCTCGACTCAGGTCCAAATGTCCTTGGCTAGTTGGCATAGCTGATGAGAATATGAGTCTCGTATGTCCCGCCTTGGTGATCAACATAATTATGCAACTGCTGTTGTGTTGTCCATCTCTAGCCCAGCAATACTGTTATCAGTGACTGGCAAGAGCAAACGTCTGCAGGCCCAGGAAAACAGCTTGAAGATCCTTCCAGTTGATACGGAAGTAAGTTGTCCAGATGTGTCCATGGCCCTCCCGTGGCCCGGTTCTGGCACACTGCGCCCCGACCGTAGTCGGATGCATCCGATGATATGATTAAAACTGGCGGGGCTGGCACTACTGCCATGGCATTGTGTGCTGCCGACTGGTGTGACCACCACTGCAAGGAGGCCGTCCTGAGGCTCGAGCGTCAGACATATTCTTGTCCCAGGCCGCTCCAGAGCCCGGTGTAACTGGAATTGGAGATTCCGAAATCAAAGCAACGCTACAAGTAGGCAAATTGCTATCCGGGATGCTACCATCCTGCCAATGAGGCTTCGCAGCTCTCAACAGCAAGCTTCACCACACCTAGGCTATAAAGTAAGACCCGTACCCATGGCATGGGGCACAGCAGATCTCTTTTCCCAGTTAATAGCTGGGAACGGGTATTGTACATAACATAACCGATCCACCGCGAACATGTCGATACTAATAATAATGCACTCCACAGCTTGGCGTAGTGACAAAGGAGTCTGCGGGGTCTTGGTGCGTATGTCGCGCCAGAGCTGGACTGCCCCTGAGAGCCTTCTCGCCAGGCTGTCCGATACACCAGGGAGTGTTTCCACTTCTGCGCTGATGACCACTGGGGATGCGCATATGCCACGACCGATTGGTCTGGTATGGGGCCCCGGTCGGTAGCTTCCGAATGGCAAGGGGCCCCTGCGCCAAAAGGGGCGACCGGCCGCTAAACGGGCAGGTGTCACAGCAGAACGGAGGGGACTGTGGAATGCCGTATAGTTTGAAAGCGGGATTAGTGGCGACGCTGTGCTCGCAATAGGTGCGATGCATCCACATTGCCTGATTTAACCTTTTCCATGGTCTTGGCGGAAAACATTTTGCCACTGAGATTTCCAGTCTCCGGCAGCTCTTAGCCAAGAGCTTGTGCTTGGCTTCTATCAACCAGTTCCGCCTCATTTTGGATAAGGACGCATTGGCATACACAGCACCCAACCACATCATCAGCCCTTGGCATCAGTAACGTGTCTGTAGTACGGTGTGCGGGGTCTCGCATGCGCCTCCGCCATTATTGTTGCATAGCAGCTACACCTTACGCAGTTATCTGGTTATGGATGGGTCGGGCAAAGTACGTGGACTGTTTTGTCAACATAAGTATCCTGCATCATGACAGGAGCCTCAATCGAACACGATCATAATTAAATCTACTGGCCGCGACCAGCGTCTCTGGATCGAATACAGCTTCCAGCAGCTGTCGTTCAGGCTTTCTCCCTGACCCTTGCTACATGTCATGACATGTAGATTAAAAGTATAATAATAAGGCTTTGGAAATTTTATTTTCCATTGGTATCAGGTTCGGCCTCATTTTCTCAATGCTGCACTGATGATCATATCAGTCCACAGTCATTATGAAGGATGAAACAGCATGCCGTTCCAGTGTCCGCAGAGATTGAGTGTAGATAAAAATAAAATGAAAAAATGTTTATTTTTTTTGTAATTAATTTTTATTTCAAAATTTTGAAGGACGCTTCACGCAGCTTCATTATACTTGAATTGTTTGCAGGCAACCTGCCTACACTCAAGAGAGCACTGCATTTCACACAAATCCGTTGGTATCGTTACAACGTTTCGGTCTTTATGACCATCATCAGTAATAATTTTTATTTATTAATTTTTATTTCAGACTGATCTGAATCAATCATAGGCCAATTCCTTTTCATGTACACAAGGCATGGCCATCGTGGAAATAAAGAATATTACTTATTAGTACAGACAGTATCACTATCTAATATTCTACTGACGGATTTCCGCCCGTCAAATTGGACCGCGCTGAGTTTCCGCTCAGCCACGGCCGTTCCAGTTCCCAACTCAGCAGCTGGATTTCCGTCCAGCTCCGAGTGATCGGAATACATAATAATCTACTGGCAGCCGCCAGTGCCTGCGGATCGAATACAGCTTCAGAAGCTGACGATCGGCTAATTCTACTGACAGATTTCCGTCCGTCAAATCGAACCGTGCTGAGTTTCCGCTCAGCCACGACCGGTCAAGCTCCTGTTGAGCACATCGTCCAACTCAGCAGCTGGATTTCCGTCCAGCTCCGAGTGATCGGAATACATAATATAATCTACTGGCAGCCGCCAGTGCCTGCGGATCGAATACAGCTTTTAGTAGCTGACGATCGGGCAAATTCTACTGACGGATTTCCGTCCGTCAAATCGAACCGTGCTGAGTTTCCGCTCAGCGACGGCCGTTCAAGCTCCTGTTGAGCAAATCGTTCAACTCAGTAAACTGGATTTCCGTCCAGCTCCGAGTCACGATTGGAATCCGGGTCGCCACCCGATGCCACTGAGTTTCCGCTCAGCAAGGCATGCACACTGCTCCGATATGAGCATGTGGCGTTGCTTACGAGGCCATGGTTGTGACAAGAATGTCAGAGAGAAGTAAATAATTGAAACGTTCACAAAACGGAGCGAAGAAAAAGGTCGAAGACGCTCATCATTACTACATTAGGATGCTTGCGTAGCAGTACAGATGAGCAGCGCAGTGCAAAAATGCCACACCATAGACATTAGACTAGAGAGTAGTTGGGTGGACACTAGGGGTGTGCGGATAATGCTCGAAAAGGTGGCAGATTCTGCTCGAAAAGCAGTGAAAATGGCAGAACCATACGAACCTTATGGCGGGCAATTCCTCGAATTCTGCTCCATTTCCTTATCCACATAAACTTACCAGAAAAAGTACCGAATTCTGCCAATTTTTCTGCCGGCATTATCCGCATATGCCTAGTGGACACACCAATCCCCCCCCCCCCCCCCAATAGCCCTTTCCCAAAGGTGCTCGCCCTTTTTTCGCCCTTTTTGGCCCTTTTTGGAAAAGCCCGTTTCTTTCGGCCTTTATTGCGTTTTTTGGTGAATATCGCCCTTTTTGAGCTTTTTTAGCTGAAAAAGTCCTAAAATCTGTTTGCTCGTGCATGCGGTCACAATTTCCGAGTGCTCGATATCTGGATGGGCCTTGCACGCCGCATTTTCGGGGCGGGCAACAAGTACAGTCAGTATCGCCTATAGCGTTGGTGTTTGATTTTGAGCATTTTATCACTATAAGCGATATATTACTATGACCGATACTGCATGCAATGTATGCGAGTGGGGTGTCAAACGACTCGGCGCGCCATGCACATACACACTACTTACATGTACAATGCCATGTAGCTGGCTGTAGCTGCTGACACACAAAATCTGGATTTCCTCATGATGGAGGCATATTTTGACAACTAATTACTTGTACGAGATAAACTCACCAAACAACACTCACTGGACAAGTTCTTCACGCAGAAAGTAACACCCTGTTCTCCTCTGCCATCACTTGATTTTACATCAATCACTATAACCGATGCAATAATAATGTAATAAAGGTCTTTTGAAATAAGAATTTGATCACTATAGGCGATATATTACTATAGACGATTATTAGTATACGCGATAACTGTGTATACTTAGTTATGGCAAATGAAAATGAATTTGAGAAATTGATCACTATATCCGGTATATTACTATAGCCGCCAACCTTATAGGCGATACGGACTGTATTAATTAAAGTTGGTTAAGCTTGTACCCGGTGTATAGAATGCTGTAAAAAGTGGGTTTTTTGAACTTTACTTCCTGTTTTGCCTTTCGTGGACCCATAAATGGAAGAGTGCGTATTCATTTCTCAGCTTGGGTTCATATCTGAACATGTATCATGGCTATCCTTCACTGAAAAAAGAGCACTTTTTGCCTGTTTTCACTGAAAAAACAGCACTTTTTCAGCACATTTTGAGGGACGCGAAAAGCACTAAGTGCGAATTAAAAGAGCACCTTTGGGAAAGGGCTACCCCACAACATTATTTTAAGTAAAATAGTTACTTCTCAGTTCTCACCATAGAAGCTGGAAACCAAATTGTGCAAACCGTACAGCGCTTGTGACAAATCTACAAGTACATGTACATGTACCAGTGTGTACCGGTACAAGCATTTTAGTTCGGAGCGCGGCATATACATGTGGGTGCTAATTATTTACATCTAGATCTACTTGTACATGTACATACATGTACGCGCGATATACGGTGCGCGAAATGACCGTCACGTACATATCTACGCACCCACGCGTTTGGTTCTGCAAAATAAAGACGCAGACTCTACTAGCTACTAGCAGGGAGTAGTACAATACTGGTATTGTACTACTCCCTGGCTACTAGTACCTACATTGATTACTTTTGTACATGACTGTATCAGTGTATGCAAGAGTACCCCCACTAATGCATTATAGTCTTGTTACCAGGGAGTCGTATCTATACGACTCCCTGCTTGTTACAATGTCATGTGTATGCAGTCTTGAATCATTGTGAATGGGATAAGGTCATAACCAGGGAGTATTTTACTACTCCCTGGTCATAACAGATAAGCAGTCACAAGACTGGTGCAGATGTCATCGTGACTGAGCTGCTGAGTGCTGAGTCTGCTGACTTGGTAGACCGTCTCCGCGGTTGCCGGTGCCTGATGCCAGGTAGCAAGCAGCTCATTGGGCCGAGTTCTGCTTTCGTCCTTTGCGAGAACCGCTTTGGTGCTTGGACTTCGACTGGTAATCTTCGAGGTAAGCAGATACATGTAGTGTTAGTAGTCAGGGTAGTAGTAGAGAGACTTCGAGGGGCTACAACGTCTTATCGGTATAAAGAAGAATTCAGGCTCATCGTTGCGAGCCATTCGTCGGCTATGCGGTAATGCTATAGCGTGTAGTGAATTTTCTTGGCGTGTTGAACAGTTGCGCACTGCGAGTGAGAATCACTGGCTGCTAGGAACAGTACTGTGACTGCTGACTACTGTAGAAGCTGCTCTGCCACGTAGTATCCCAGGAACCCAAACCCGCCGTCCCTCAACGCTCAAGGCCTCTAGCAACAGTTCGCTTATCTGGCATTGCGGATTCGCGCTGGCTGTGCAGGCCACGAAGATCATCAATACTAGTAGGTAATAATAAGACAACTGCAAGACGGTAAGACCTCAGCCAGGCAGCATCGACAGTGGTCTCTTATCGATCTCGTTCTGTTGATGTGTGGCTACAACGCTGTAGTGAGTTATAAGACGTACTCAGTACACCAATAAACGTAGGCCGTGTACTACTACTAGTACAGTAGCTTGCAATCCCAGCGACTAATTTCCTTGCACTTAGCAGCAGAATTCTCCACCTGTCACATAGCACTTGGCAGTAGTTTTTGTTGGCCCTATCATGAAGGCTTCATTGAAGCGCAGGCTCTCATTCTGAGCGTACAGTACGGATTGATGTGACTACCAACTGTTATCAAGTTCTCTACATAATCGTACTCAGTAAACGCAGTAATTTTATCCAGAAACCGGAACGCAAAAAAAGAGCTTGCACTTTTGCTGCACACCACCACACATGCAACACAAACTACAGTCAACTTGGCTAATAACAACTGCGGATATAACGACAATTCGCGAATAACGACTGCGGATATAACGACCATTCGCGAATAACGACAGAATTTCCATGCCCAGAGCAAAGTCCCATCTAACTGTAATACATATAATGAGACTTCGGGTATAAGGCTGTCCCTGCGGGAATTTGCGGAAAAAATCCTCGAAAACTTGCGCAAGAAATTGCGGCAGAAAACAACAAAAAATGCGGCGAAAAGTGCGGAACTTGCCAGGAACGCGCGGAATTATTGGCAGAAAATTGCGGATTTGGGCCAAATCACGAAATTTGTTGTATCCTGAGAATCGCTATTTGCGTACTGTGGAAATAACCTACAAGCAGGATCATGGAAAGCACTGTATACTGCGTGAAAAGTGCAGAAAATGTCAAAAGAAGTGCAGAAAACAACAACAAAAAACGCGGAAAATCGCGGGTCTGGGCCAAAATCGCGAAATTTGTTGCGTCCGTGGAATCGCGATTTCCTGGAGGGACAGATAAGGACACTTCGCGAATAAGGACACTTTTCTGATGCCCCGCCGAGTGTCGTTATAAGCGAAGTTGACTGTACATGTACGCTCACATAAGACCTACGGAAGCCCAAGCCGCGTAATAATAGTCATGATGAAATGGACACTGAGAACTTGAAAGTGGACTGGACGAAACCAATGGCCTGGAGTGCAAATACCAGGACACAACCGGATGCGCAGACGTGGATACATTTCGATTTGGCAGCTGCCTGTGAGCTAGCGCCTCCATGTACTTTCTACCCAGAATTTTACTGATGGCAGAATATACATGTACTTACCGGTGCATGGACTTTAAATAAAATTCCTCAACAACAACAACAACAACAACAACAACAACAACAACAACAACCCCTCTCTAGTATTATTATTGTTACATCCTCATATTTTCCCGATTTGGTCCCTTTTGGTAGTACCCAACACTGTCGAGCTAGTAAAATAAACTATGTAGAGCTGCTCACTTTATTTTATTCCAGGCCTGGTCAGACTGCGGCAAAATCGAAATAATCCTAGGATTATAATCCGAATCTCCATAGTAACTTGCCGCCAGAGCGGCAAAAGCGAGAGTTGACGCTCCAAAAAAAAAAAGCAAGAACGGACCACGCTTTTCCGCTCCAAACAGGATTTGACGCTGATACGCCATTGACGCTGATAATCACTGATTTTTTCATCTCGATATCGAGGAGCTAATTGGCCACGGACAACAACAAAACTCATAAGGATGGTTGCAAGGATTGCACTGAAGGTGTTGGCGATCCCCAAGGTGAAGGAATTTGACGTCGTTCTTGGAGATTACCACTTGACGCTCGAAATGAAGTTTGAATTTTCACTCTCCCCACATGTGTAGTGTGATCGCGATTCAAATTCTGGACGCTGTTCTGTTTTCGTCAGGCAACCAAGACTTGCCGCAGTCTGACCAGGCCCTAAGTACGTACTCTGATACACATAATTATACTCTTGCTTAGTATGTAATCTCGTACTCTAGTTTATGCTTTAAATAGTACTTTATTTGGAGTAGCGCTGAGCCGGGTAGCATTTTCTTCGAGTATCGGGTTCGGGTAGTTTTCCACGGGTAGCACCGGTACCCTATCGGGTAATGTTTCCATGGTAACACCACACTGCACCCCTTCCCTTACACACTGGGAAGACATGCGGAGTATTACATGAATTTATTCCCGTAGCTATGCAGAAGACGTTACTTCAGTAACGTCTGGCGCTAGCCAGGGTCCACACAGCTTTAATTTGGTGTTTGTTTGTTTGTTTGTTTGTGTCACGCCTGGAGCTATCCCGTATCTGTCCCGTATCTGTGACTACAAAGGCTGTACAGGATTGTACATAACAGCTGGCCACAATATTGGCTGGTACCGTATCTGTCCCGTAACGTACCATCAAGCACAGCTGGCCACAAACAGCTGGCCACAATATATGGTATAATATGTGATATATGGTTCAGTTCCAAGAGGAATCTGGAGCTCGCTGAACCAATCGATAGTCGATAAGCACTGGCCGACGAGGGACCACTCTTTGCAGGCTCTGAGGGATGTATCGAATGAAGAAAAGTTGAACTGACTTGGTTCGGGAGGGGTGGCAACACTTCGTGTGTCTCGCTGACCTTGTAATTGGAGTCTGGCGAGGACAATGTCGTGGTCGGAGGTACCCAGCGGTGCGGCAGTTGAGAGGTTAGAAAGAAGTAGTGGGTGGTTTGTTATAACCAGGTCTAACGCACTGGCATGACCACTGTGTTGGGAGTAATGTGTGGGAAAGGTAACGAGCTGTGATAGGGAGAGCATTTGAAGCAGACACAGCAGTTGATGACGAACCGCATCTGTGGTCGATCCATACCATTCCGAGCAACGAGCGTTGAAGTCCCCAGAGACGAGAAGCATGGAGTCGGGCATAGATAAGCGTTGCAAGATGGCTTGAAATTGAGGAAAGAAATTATCGGTTTGGCGGTCTGTCAATGATGGCGGCCTGTACACCGATCCTAAATAGCGCAAGAACGTGAAGCAACTTGGAAGAATGAGTATGAATGCGAAGTGTATCGGGGAATGAATGTAGAGCGATTGTGCGGGTTCGAATCCCAGGTTTTGCCTTGAAATAAAAATAGGAGAATTGAAAATTTATAACATCCCTATGCTTTTTTTTGTGAAGGTCATCAAGGCAAAAAAGCATAGCGTAGGGCCCTGAGCTTCCAAGCTCTCTCGTTTGTACACGTGCACTGTACATGATGTCATCTCCGACTTTGAGTTTTCGGGTACTATTCTGTACCCGTCTACCCGAGGTCCTCACGGGTACTATCAAGAGTAGATAAACAAGAGTGTGCAACTCGCGGATGGGTTGGCCCACGGCGGAATTTTTTGTTGACGTAATCTTTTCGACGACGCACGCGCTATGAGTCTTTTGGAAAGTTTTCCCTCGTGCACTTGGCCGCATTTGCACTACAAAGTCGGTGCCCAGCACGTGCTCTCACACAGCTCTGCAGCAAAATGCGCGTTCTTCTGAAAAAAGGTGACGTCAACAAAAAATTCCGCCGTGGGCGGGGGTATCTGCAGATTGTGCAGGAGAGATCCGGAGTTGCACACTCTTGTTTATCTACTCTTGGTACTATTCTGTACCCGTCTACCCGAGGTCCTCACGGGTACTATTCTGTACCCGTCTCCTACCCGAGGTCCTCACGGGTAGTACCCAACTACCCATGCTCACCCCTAATTTGGAGCACGGCAGTATCGATCCGTGTTGAAGTATGTCAGTAGTTGTGAAGTACAATCATGTACATGTACCTTGGATAGTAAGTAGAGTACACTTTCCTGTTACCCTTCAGGAAGTAATTAGTTATACTGTACCATACCACACCATACCACACCATACCATACCACACCATACCATACCACACCATACCATACCACACCATACCATACCATACCATACCATACCACACCATACCACACCATACCATACCATACCATACCATACCATACTATACCATACCATACCACACCACACCATACCACACCATACCATACCACACCATACCATACCATACCATACCATACCATACCATACCATACCACACCATACCACACCATACCATACCACACCATACCATACCATACCATACCACACCACACCATACCACACCATACCATACCACACCATACCATACCACACCATACCATACCATACCACACCATACCATACCATACCATACCATACCACACCATACCACACCATACCATACCACACCATACCATACCATACCATACCATACCATACTATACCATACCATACCACACCACACCATACCACACCATACCATACCACACCATACCATACCACACCATACCATACCACACCATACCATACCACACCATACCATACCACACCATACCACACCATACCATACCACACCATACCATACCATACCATACCACACCATACCATACCACACCATACCATACCACACCATACCATACCATACTATACCATACCGTACCGTACTATTACTTTCAACCAAATGAATCCCTCAATAGGCATATTGCCTTTGGGTCATTTCATAATATTAATAATAATAATTACTACTAGAAGTATACCACACCATACAATTACTTCAAAGTATTTTACCATACCAAACCTTACCACACCACGCCACATCATAGCATGCCATACTATATACATGTACCTACGCTGCTGATACATGCACATATCCGTATGTGGTGTACATGTATCTGTGTGCTGTGCAGTTGGTCACACACTAGACTAGTGCTAGGATGCCACATCACCACGGCGGCGGAGGCCATCATCACCATGGCGGCGGAGGCCATCATCACCATGGCGGCGGAGGCCATCATCACCATGGAGGCGGACACCATCATCACCACCGACCTGGACCAGTGTTTGGTGGCCATCATCACCATCATGATCCTGGTTACGGTAACCGTGCCTACGTCGGGTTTGCACCGCTCGGCTGGTCCGGCTGGCGGTACGCCCATCCACGCCGCAGTAAGTCCCCCCCCCCCCTGTGTGTGTGTGTGTGTGTGTGTGTGTGTGTGTGTGTGTGTGTGTGTGTGTGTGTGTGTGTGTGTGTGCGTATACATGTATGTGTGTGGTGTGGTGTGTGTATGTAGCGGTGCATGTATGTATGTTCATATGGTAAAATGACCATGTGATCCGGTGTGAGAGGCCACAAAGGACTTAGGTGAGTCACTCTGACCTACACGAAGAGAAACGTGTTCGTCGTGGGATGATCCTCCTGAAAATGCACACTCTGTTTTACGTCTCTCTTCATAGAGCAAGCCGAGGTGGTAGACATACCATGCCAAACAACTGTGGTACAGTCAGACCTCGCTTAACCGCACACATCTGTTTTCCACAAAATATCCGGATAGGCGAGGGAACCGGATAACTGAACACACATACGGTATATGCATGTGGCATGTCAAAAGCAGTGACATCGTACATACATGTACATGTAGACTAGACGGGTCCTATGCAGTACAACTAACGTGCACAGTATGTAAAACAAGCGAGGAAAATGACAAGTGCATGCAACTGAGTGCTGTCCGCATGCACCCAGCAGGTCAAGGACCTCATTTGCTTGTACAACTCCCTGATTCTAGCTTCTGCAAGCCACATGCAACCGGATACGACGAAGCTTTTTGTACACATTTTAACCAGTTTGTACACAAAATCATGCACCGGTATGCGGATGGTGAGGTCCGGTTATGTTGTATGCATAACATATGCTGCACATCGGTAACCAGCGATTTTCTTCCGGATGGCGAGGGATCCGGAAAAACGAGGACCGGATAAGCGAGGTCTGACTGTACACAAGCTATCTTGTGCGAGCGTGCAATTATGAGTGTCTAAAAATCCTACAAAAAGAAGAAAAAAGAGCAATCCCAATACTAGTATTGCAACGGAGGTCGGATGCCAATTTATTTTATTCCAGAACAAGTCAAGTTCGCATGCATTCACGTATTTTTCTCAGTCATTCCCTGTATAATCCTGAAGAGGAGGGAACGAACACGTTTTATACCGGATGTGAAGTGTAAATCCCAACACCGTTTAGCAGATTAAAAGCTGTACGGTGGTACATGTATGTGTGCACACCATTTCGAGAGTTTTTGTTGGTGTTGTCTTGAATTTCCTTACCGTTATGAATAATTTACATGTAAGCTTTGTTTGGTGGACGTGTCTACTTTTTGTAGGGTTGACCATTCTGGTAATGATCGTTGTCATCTGCATGATCATCCCGGGAGGAGTGATGCTAGGGCTGTCCTCGTCAGACGTGTATGCGTCAGGATTTGTGGCAACAGCCATTGCCCTTATTGTGATAGGAGCCATTTGCCTTGGCATAGCACTCTTCCACTACCGACGCCAGACTGTCTACGGGAATCCCGCTTCTGTCACCATCGTGACCGACTCGCCCGCTCAGGCTGCTGCCAGCGCGCCGGTGTCCTATGGAGCAGCCGCGACCACCGCACCGTATGCGCCCCAGCCGGCCACCAACCCGGCGTATGGTGCAGCACCAGTCTCACAAGTTCCCACCGGCAACGGCGCTGCGGACGCACCGCCAGCATACAGCGCAGCTGTAAAGTACTGACTTACGCAGCAGAGTTTCGCATCTTCGTAAATCTTCCAAAGGCCTAGATATTCATAGGCTCATGACGTGTACTAGTACTTGGAGCAGGCCTCCAGAAATGTTTTTACTACTATAGTACTTCGAAGTATTTTGTTGTTTTTAGATACGAACACTCCTTATGGAATATTGATATTATCTTTTGGCAAATCCATGGTGGAAAGCTATCACTTCTGTCTATCCCCGTTATCTGGTATCTTTGCTGCATACCATAATTATATCCTTCTAATTAAAGTTTTGCACATATCCTTGTCTTATTGATTGCGGTTATCAAATTATCGTCTCCTCGCCGTTTGTTTACATATTCGGGAGTGAGTTTTAAAAGGACACTCGTGTCTCTCTCGAATCCGGACTTGGAAGTTACGGATATCTCGGTCTACCGGGGCCGCGGGTGCAGGCAGGGAAGTAGGTATTTTGCCTACGAGAAGATGCAAACATTCTGTTGTGGCACTCCATAAGAGAATGAGTCACCATAGATGGTTCTTCGTGAATGCATCTACATTTCCCGGTGGTACGTATGGTAGCATTTCCCAATTGCAGCGTCTACCCGTATTATCTCTATCACAAGTGCTGTCTCTTGTAGAAGCCCAGTCTCTATTATAAGCGCACTCCAAGGGGGTTTCGAAGATATACAAGCGCAGTCACTCACTCCAATGCCGGTATAAGCGCGGCAGGGCTTGTAATGGAGAACTGCATAATTTGTTTAATGTACATGTACAGAGTGATGCCTTTAGCTGTACCATGTTGACCATACCGGTATAGGTATGGTGTCCACTCCCTGGCACAGGGTACAGTCAACCAGGGAGTCGTAAAATACCGGTATTTTACGACTCCCTGCAGTCAACCCTAGTACTCTGTATATGAGATTAGCGGCGGATGTCTTGCTAGCAGGGAGAAGTAAAACACCGGTATTTCACTACTCCCTGCTTGCTACTGTTTTGAAAACTGGTGGAAAAAGCGACGTCATACGCCAGATCTCCGGCTCTTGCCCATTCAAACATATGTGATGCAGAGATACAAACTTTTCAACGTCTTAGGCGATGCTTGGTCCCGGGCCGCCAGAATGCTAGTTAAATTTGTTTGGAAAGGACAGACGGCAGAACTAGTAGCAGCCGGAGAAGAAGATACAGTGTGTATCGGTTTTATAGTGTGGTCGTGTAAAAGAATATACTGCTTACAAGAATGACCTCTCATGTTTTCATAATCATAACATGGATTTCAAGTGCACTTTCATTCTTACCGAAGCAATTTTATCGCATAGTAGAATATATCGGTCCTAAGAATGGACTTTGTGTAGCAAAACATGCCAGGTTAATACAAAGCGCATCGCCTGTAGTAATAACATCTGTCCCATGCAGTTCTGATCTGACTAGCGTTGCGTCGTAGTGCTGCATGTTCAACTGTTGTGGTCATGTAACTCATGTTGGATAGCCACATGGTAAGCCTATGGGACTATGACCAGCCGCATGCACAGTAGCACTACGTTGCACGTACGATGATCTTCCTGCCCCTGCGCACATTATGATATTATGTCACACTTGATGTATCGTGTGTAGGAAATATCGGAAATAAGAATAGAAAGTCGTTTTTCAAACACCCAAGCTATAACTGATACCTACTGTACGTTTGATCTAGATTATTTCCATTCAAATGAACAATTTGGCATTCTAGAGTACTGCAGACGCTACCTCCACGACACGTACATACGATAGGCACAGGCCTATCCAGATGCTAGAAGTCTTCCGATGCTTAAAAAGTTGCACTAACTTATTTTAATAAAACAAACCAGCGAATATTTAAAAAAAGTAAAAGTCAAAATAATGGCATTTGACTAACGTATGCATTGCGGTACGCAAACAGCAAGATTAAGAGGCAAGATATTCTACAGCAGGTGTTATTGCGCATGAACAATGCAGCATTGCAAGTCGGTCCTTTCATGTCCTTGGATACAAATTTCCGGTCTCGACTTGTACTATAAAAGGACACAAACTCAAAGCTTATTGAGGCAGAAACTTCCATACGTGTCAAGTCTAAGTATAGTGAAAATCACCTCACCTGATGAATAAAGTGAACATAGATGGCGAAATTGCCAGGTTATGTCTGCAACGGTTCCGAATCAGCAGAGCTACATCAGTGCTTGTGAATTGTCTCCAATGACTTTGATAATGCCATTAAAATGACGGGATGCTGGTAGCAGTGTGCAGTGTACACCTTGTTTGCAATGTTGACAGTTTTCTCCGTGATGAAATAACCGCTCCATTCATCATGTAAATGGAATGAGTTAGAAGTAGCAAGGCTGCTGGCACACCGTCTCAGCTAACTTACTGCAGTTCATATGACCTTACTTTTGTTCTCCTCGATGAGTGAAAATGAGGAGGAGAAAAGCGAGAACTCTGGCAGCCAAACCAATGCCGATCAGCATGAACAAGCAGAAGGCAAAGTTGGTCAGGCTATAGTCCTGGAAGCCAGCATTGTACTGTACGTAAAACGCCATGATTGGATGGTATGCGTTTGCCTCGAGTTCAAACATGGCCTCGGAATACCACTTGCTGTAAGCCATGGTGTACGCAAGTGGTCCGATGTAAGTGTACGTTTGAAGCTTGCAGATGGTTGACGACGATCCACCTGACAGGGCAGCGCACATCAGGGCAATGACGATAGTCCCCATCTTGCTGTTGTCTGGATGGAGGACTACAGAGAGGAAGTACCCAGCACCCAGACAAGCCCAGTAGGTGAACATCAGTACGATGTACATGTCTTGGTAAGATGCTCGAGGTGCTGTAAATAAGTAAAACGGGCCCAAGAAGAAGACGGGATATAAGATGATGATCGGGATGTGTCCGACAGTGATAGACATGAAGTAGGCAAGTCGGTTGATCCCACTGGAGCTCTCTCGCCAAAAGATGGGACGGGTTTCATCCGTACCAAGCGGTCGTAGGGCTGTGATCATGCCGGTGAGACCCAGTGCAAGCCCTGCCATTACATGGGCCACTTGCCATTTGAGCAGGTCAGACCGCATAAACAGGATGCCAAGGACAATTCCACACACAGCTACCAGTGCAAGATCCGTTGCGAATTCCACGCGCGTTCTTAGCTGTGCACGAACACCACAGCAGCAACCACGACAACAACAACAACAACAACAACAACAACAACAACAACAACAACAACAACAACAACAACAACAACAACAACAACAACAACAACAACAACAACAACAACAACAACAACAACAACAACAACAACAACAAGAACAACCATGAGAGTAACACAAAGACAGTGGCAGCACAACCCATCACCACCTACAGCAGCGGCAGTGGCAGCAGCAGCATCACCGCCACCACTACGGCATACTGTATAAGCAGAAATATTCGTCTGGAATTTAGTTTCGTCTTTTTCGTCCAAGGAGCTTTTGGACTAAATTAAATGTAGGACGAATATCGATTTGTCCAGCGTTTCTATACACTCTTATGGACGAAATTTTCAACCGGACGAACTCCTTTTCTTTGGAGTTGGACGAAATTATTGACCGACGAAATTTTCTGCCTCTACAGTACATGTAAGTCAAAGAACATCATTCTCGAAAGTATTCATCACCGAACATCATTTCGCACTTCATCGCCACCGCAAATATATCGCAAACGCAAGTATTAGATTTCTTGGACCGAAAAACGCATATTTTAACAAGAATTCGGTAGAACTAACATATTATCCAGCATCCACGGGCACGGGCATGATATATGGTGCGTTTTGCATATATCAGTCGAACTGCGACTGACCACATGGAGTGGGCTGACAACTGAGGTTTGGCTCACCATACTAGGGAGGTTAAGTCCCACGTAATACGTGTGTACTTTACGTGTGCGTGTATGTACCACGTGATACTTAGTGACCCACGTACAGCCGTTTTCTGATTCACGACATACCGTGTATGGAGGCTCACCCACGTTCCACCAAACGTGGGTGAAAATCAGAATGGAGCGCATTGTGCAAGCTGTGAGGGTGCTCAGCTGAAGAAGTTTCCGAAGCACGAAATCAAAATATTCGATGAGCTTTGAAGCTTCATCTTTGACCAAGTTTGGGCCTTTCGCTGCATACTTTTGTTTGTTCCGTGTGAATAAAAACAACATTGCGAACGTGGGTCCATTGCATGAACTTTACGTGTATCACCCACGTTCCCGTATCCGTTACGTGGGACTAAACCTCCCTACTATGTCCTCCAAACAGGTCCATGGACATAGCCATGCAAAACGCTTTTCACAGCTTTCTTCTTCTGCGGATTTTCGCGCAAATTCATCTTCAGCCTCGGCGTCGCGAGTGAGTGACTGAACAACAACTACAACTTCAAACGAACAACTACAACTACTGCATCAGCATGAGAAGTGCAGCTAGCTGTGCGGACACTTGAACTGTGGCTTCAGGAATATTCCAGTCAGTCGTGGGCTGACATGCGATGAAGAACACTATTCAGACAATTCGCAAACTAAAACTAAAAACTTTGTCCTAACGTTAAAAAGGAGATGAGACCACGCCAGCGAGCTTCCATGGTTTCATGAGGATCCGGGCGTCTTTTTTTCGCAGCCTTTCACATACACCGTGTGAACACACTCTGGATATACCGGTAAGCAGTGTTGTACTGCAATCAGTTATAAGCAGTTTATGCCTCGTGTGAACTGCACCTTAGAGTGGTGTTTCATAAACAATATTATTGGCTCAAAAAGCCAATAAATACTGTTTATAAAATACTCCGTTTTAGGGTAAAGTGCAGTGCTGCATGGAAAAGTGCGGTGGTACTTATTGAGTCAAAGCAAATTTATTTGAATTTGATACTGTTGATGGTGTGGTCACTGATGAGTGTGGGTATTTGTCACTGAAGGTCAAAATATGGAGATATCATCGAAACCCCAGTTATAGATCACGGGGATTAGTGGGGGTTAATATGAGCTGGGTATAATTTTATATATTTCACAATTAGAACTGTCCCTACTCTCATGGTTGGTTGCAAGGATGTCATTCTGTCTGGCCAACTTTACCTGCGAAAAATTTACAACCAATATTTTCAAGGCCCTTTCTAATTCTCAGCTTACCATTATCAGCATGAAACGCCTGAGCATGTAGAGGAATTGCGTGATCATGGTTGGTCGCACAACCGGCTGAAATTTCTCTTTTGGGAATGATGCAGGTGCATTGGGTATTTTCTTCCTTTCTTCCTCCCATAGATCAGCGACTGTCTCTTTTTGAATGCCGTCGTTGGCTTTGGAAGCCTCCTGATCAACACGAGTGTCAACACATTCGAGGTAGTAGTCCGCGGGATTGGTCTGGCCAGTGCATTTGTTATAGCCAATTGAATCAAAGAACGTCTGATGCAAAAGCAAACCATGAAAAATCAAGAAACCATAGTTAGTGCAGCTTCATCGTGACAGCAATTCCCACAGGTAAATAGCAGTGCACCTATTGGTGTCGGGGTCCCAACGCATCCCAACACTCAACAGTATACTATCAGTTATAGTTACATTACATTATATTACTGAAACGGAAAGCCATCTTTGTCTCCAACCAAAGCAACAACTCGCGGAGCAACCAAAGAACTACTAAACTGAAAAGAAGAACCACATGGTTCAAAACCAATACACAAACCCGGCCCGTATCGCGTATGCCAGCGACACATGCATAAAAGCAAGACTTAGTACAGAATGCAGAAAAGTAGCTTGCATGAAAAGTGCGTAGCGTTCACACCTGTATGCTAACCCGCACTACAACTCGCGTACTATACAAGGGACGCCAGCGACACGTGCATAAAAGCAAGTACAGAATGCAGAAAAGTAGCTTGCATGAAAAGTGCGTAGCGTTCACACCTGTATGCTAACCCGCACTACAACTCGCGTACTATACAAGGGACTAGTACTGCGCAGTAGGCACGCATTCAAATAAGCTGTAGACATGCACTGCATAAATCTCCAAGTCCTCGTACAAACTGTGCAGTGCTGCAAAGGTACAAATAAATAAATATCAAACAAATATCAATGTGTAGATCAGCGACATCCTCCCCACCAAAACCTAGTGCAGGTTTTACAAGTCCAACCATTGCCTGTCGCTATACGCTGGGCGAGCAGAGAAGGTAGCGGATCATCCCACTTGCCTTGTTCCTTCCAGGCCTCTTGCAGGAGGATCTTGCCTGTCAATACTGCCGGTGACACCGAGTCGAGCGGATCAAATGTCGCTGCTATGCACTTCAATGGGGTGCGCCTCGTCCATGTCTTCCAGAGTGGCAGTTGACACTGCATCGCTACGTGAGAGGGAGAGTGTGTCGGCTGTCAAACACTAGACGGCGCTGAGGGCATTGCCTGTAGCTGCTGAGGTGCTGTGGCTGTTGCTGCTGCCACTGCTGCTGCCGCTGCCATTGTTGAAATCACTGCTACCATTGCTACTGTCATCATGAAGCAGGGTATGGTGTTTGTTGCCACACTTGCTGCAAGTAACACTACTGGCACAACTTCCCCGGCTGTGCCCTGTCCGCAGGCAACGATAGCAAAGGCCATTGGTTTGCGCATACTCGCGGCGCTGAGCAACAGGCATGCTGTGGAGCGTGTTCTCGTCATCGGCAGTGGACAGCGTGAAGCACTGTGCTGATACACCCTCGCACTCCCAGGCCACAGGCTTCTTGTCAGATACAGATACACCATGGGCCTCCTGATACGCTGTACCCAGCTCCGTGATCTCTTCAAACGTTTTCTCGCCGATCTTGTTTTCCAGCAAGTACGCACGGAGGTCAAGCGAGCATCCCTGGAGCACAAATTGGCGGACGATTGCCATGAACATCTCACTGTTCCCACTGCTCTGCTTCTGGCCCTGCGGCCCTCCAGTTAGCGATGCCCACTCTTGCACCAGTTGCACTACATGGGTTACGTACCGGAAAAACGTGTCCTCCGTCTGCTGATGCAGAGACAAGAGCTCGGACCACGTCTTCTCGGCAGTCTTGCCAAAACTACGTGTCACTTGAACTTTAGCGCTTTCATAAGTTGTGACATGATCCAACACCGGTTCAAGCCTTGTCCCCATCGCAGCCGAACGGAGGGCCAACAACCATGTCGATTTTTCGTAGCCATTTTGCTGAACAACAGCCTCAAATGTTATGAAATAACGCCGGATGTCCTGTTTGTCGGTGTATTTTGGCACGTCCAACTTGTGGGGGCGCTTCTGCGCGTCGTTACTGCCACTACCACTCGCGGCCTGGAGTTTTTCTATCTCCTTCTTACTGTCCAGCTCCTTCTCAGCGATTCGTTCTGCACGGTCTTGTGCTCTCTGGTCCCTATCGGTTGCTTCGGTGAGCTTGCGCTCCACGAAAGAGACCAGTGCCTCGCCAGAATACCCGTAATCCTTGCCAAGCTTTAGGTAACTCGTCTCCAAGTTCATCCATCCAAAAGCCTCAGCGCTTCCACCAGCACCAGGCGATTTCCTTTCGGACTCGGCCATGCTAAGCCAGCACGCTACGATGCACGATTCAAATTTTACTGGGTGGTCGCCAAATATTGGTGTCGGGGTCCCAACGCATCCCAACACTCAACAGTATACTATCAGTTATAGTTACATTACATTATATTACTGAAACGGAAAGCCATCTTTGTCTCCAACCAAAGCAACAACTCGCGGAGCAACCAAAGAACTACTAAACTGAAAAGAAGAACCACATGGTTCAAAACCAATACACAAACCCGGCCCGTATCGCGTATGCCAGCGACACATGCATAAAAGCAAGACTTAGTACAGAATGCAGAAAAGTAGCTTGCATGAAAAGTGCGTAGCGTTCACACCTGTATGCTAACCCGCACTACAACTCGCGTACTATACAAGGGACGCCAGCGACACGTGCATAAAAGCAAGTACAGAATGCAGAAAAGTAGCTTGCATGAAAAGTGCGTAGCGTTCACACCTGTATGCTAACCCGCACTACAACTCGCGTACTATACAAGGGACTAGTACTGCGCAGTAGGCACGCATTCAAATAAGCTGTAGACATGCACTGCATAAATCTCCAAGTCCTCGTACAAACTGTGCAGTGCTGCAAAGGTACAAATAAATAAATATCAAACAAATATCAATGTGTAGATCAGCGACAGCACCGCTGTGCTCTCCGGCCGACCTCAACACGTTGCCACAGCACACCATCAGCAAAACGACACTTCAGTTGGTACTCTGCTCCTTCAGACAGCAGCTGTTTCGATCATCAGGATCTCGTCAGTGAAGGTTGATAATGTAGAATGGCTGACAGTGGTTACATGGGAATGAGCAATAACGAAAACGAAGCCAGAATTTATACTGCCGTTATACTCAATGATGCAGACAGCCAGACTGTTTCGGCCAATGAGGCCTCATCAGTGCAACTCCGAGCTTAAAATAGGATTGAACTGTCAGCCATGGCTACGAGAACCACAGACATTAGGACAGCTCGATGGACTAGTCTGGCTGAGAGTGCTTTTAAACTGCTAGAAGCAGCGGGCAAAGCATAAAGCTAACCAGCGCAAGTGCGTCCTATTGAGAGTGCTCTACAAGATCGAAATCGAGGAGCGAAATACTCAATGATGCAGACAGCCAGACTGTTTCGGCCAATGAGGCCTCATCAGTGCAACTCCGAGCTTAAAATTGGATTGAACTGTGAGCCATGGCTACGGTATAATAATATTACTGCTGACACCCGGTAGAGTGCTCAACCTGAAAGGGAGCGGTCCTACAAGGAGGAAAACTTCCTTCTGCCAGCGGAGAGGGCTCAACATAATAATGTGGAGCACTATTACACACAAAAGGCACAACGGAGGTTTACAGAATTGTCGCAACTCAGAGTTTCTTGCTCAATGCAATCATCAGGCGACTAGTGCCTTTTCTGTGTAGGGCTGTGTTTCCATGAGGCGTTTCAGCCCGGGTTGAGTTCGACCCGGGTCAGATTTCAACCCGCCATGCACACAAAATGAATGGCGCGTTTACATGACGCATTGCGCTTGACCCGGGTTGAAATTTCGCCCGGGGTTGATTTCAACCCTCCCCTTGGGGGGAGGGTTGAAATCAACCCAGGTCAAAGATATCGTACTGTGCGTACCTCGCGCCAGGTTTGAACAGCACTGCACATGCAAATTTTGCGCGAAAGGATTCACGTGACCATACAGGACTCTAGAAGTGGAATTTTGGCGGCATATCAGTATTTGACCCGGGTCAACTGGCTTCATGTAAACGCTTACCTATGTTGTCTATCGTACAGACTTTCAACCCGGGCTGAACTCGACCCGGGTTGAAATTTCTCATGTAAACACAGCCTAATAGCGCTCCATATTATTGTGTTGAGCCCTCTCCGCTGGCAGAAGGAAGTTTTCCTCCTTATCATGAAAATATATTGGCAAGGTACGTTCGGGCCTGGTTTAAATCTGGCTTTGGAAAAGCAATGAAAATTTATTTTTCATTGCCACCAGGTTCGGCCCGGCCCCATTTCCTCTGTGCTGCGCTGATGAGTCCACAAAGGACGAAACAGTTCTGTCCGCAGATTGAGTATAATATATTATTATATAAAGTCAACTTGGCTAATAACGACTGCGGATATAACGACAACTCGCCAATAACGACCGAATTTCCATGCGCAGAGCAAAGTCTCATCTAACTACATACATTTCACTTCCAGTATAGCGACTATCTGAGTAGCGACAATTTCGCGAATCCGCCACGTGCACCGGTGCCCTTCAGGGGGGGGGGGGGGGGTTCCGGGGGCCTCCCCGGGAAATGTTTCAAAAAATGAAGCAAAACCCTGCATTTTGAGCGAAAAAAGGGGGATTCCGGGCACCCAGAAACCCATACGGGCACGCGCCTGCGAATAGCGACATGATTTTAGTGCCCCATAGGTCAAGTTCACTGCTTGAATAACGACTTTCTGGACTGTTGACAGCTATTTCAAGTACCTGTCACTCAAGTACATGATTGTGCATGTACCTGTCATGCATAAATAAGTACCAGAACCCATGGCAGTGGATAAAGGCACACATGCAAGAAGATGCAGCCAAGGGGGGGGGGGGCTTCTTCTTTATTTTATTTATTTTGCTTCAAAATAATGTAGGTTTGCAGCGTACGGCAAACCGTAGTTATCGCAGACAACCGAGCAGCAGGCAAAAGCCACGCGCGTGGCTAGGCGCGTAACAATGGGGGTGTCAGGCATGCAATGGCAGGCAACCGTACTAGTAGAAAGCCCAGGTTGCACCAGGAGCACTAGTACGCCCACAGGCGAGACTACCCCATATTTGCATGAAGGTTGTAGCGCTAGTATTAATGCAAGGATTACGGCAGACAGGGCGCGGGCATGGCGCCCAGTCTCTATATTAGGAAG